CCAGTACCCGGCTCTCACCCCGGAGCAGAAGCAGGAGCTCTCCGACATCGCCAAGCGCATCGTGGCCCCGGGCAAAGGAATCCTGGCTGCCGATGAGTCCACCGGTGCGTAGCGGGCCGGACTGGGATGGACTGGGACATACTGGGATGGACTGGTACCGGTCCTTACTGGTCCTTACCGGTCCGTACTGGTGCCTACTGGTACCTGCTGGTCCATGCTGGTGCCTGCTGGTCCATACTGATCCTTACTGGTCTTTATTGGTCCGTACTGGTTCTTACTGGTCCTTACTGGTCGGTACTGGTTGGTACTGGTCTGTACTGGTCCTTACTGGTCCATACTGGTCCGTACTGGTGCCTACTGATGCCCGCTGGTCCTTACTGGTCCTTACCGGTCCTTAGTGGTCCTTACTGGTCCTTACCGGTCCATACTGGCCCGTACTGTTCCTTACTGGTCCTTACTGGTACTTACTGGTCCTTACTGGTCCATACTGGTCCGTACTGGTGCCTACTGCTGCCTGCTGGTCCTTACCGGTCCTTACCGGTCCATACCGGTCCGTACTGTTCCTTACTGGTCCTTACTGGTCTTTACTGGTCCGTACTGATGCCTACTGGTGCCTGCTGGTCCTTACTGGTTTGTACCAGTCCTTACTGGTCCGTACTGGTCCATACTGGTCCATACCGTTCCTTACCTGTCTGTACTGTTCCTTACTGTTCCTTACTGGTCCTTACTGGTCCGTACTGTTCCTTACTGTTCCTTACTGGTCCGTACCTGTCCATACCGGTCCATACTGTTCTTTACTGGTCCTTACTGGTCCGTACTGGTTTGCACTGGTTTGCAGGCAGCATCGCGAAGCGCCTGAGCTCGGTTGGGGCGGAGAACACGGAGGAGAACCGGCGCTGGTACCGGCAGCTGCTGCTGACGGCCGACAGCCGCGTGGATCCCTGCATCGGCGGCGTCATCCTGTTCCACGAGACGCTCTACCAGAAGGCCGACGATGGCCGCCCCTTCCCACAGGTCATCCGCGCCAAGGGCGGCGTCGTGGGCATCAAGGTGAGCGCAGGGGGTTGTGGGGGATTGGGGGGCATTGTG